GAGTGGTCCCACGATGTCTAGCGCACATTTTTGGAACGGTCCGTCAGAGGTATCCGTAATTATTAGAGGCATTTTCGTTTTCCTGCTTAGCTTGTTTTTTTGGCAATGTTCACATTTCCGGACGTAATCTTCTACGTTTTTTGTAATTTCTTTCCAGTTATGTAACAACCTAATTCGATTCAAGGTTCGTTCAACCCCTTGATGCCCTCCTATCGGAGTATCGTGATACTCGAAAATAATTTAGCGTTTCTTATCATCGGTATATTCGCGCTTTTCTTCCGTCTTCTTCTGCTCAACACAGTTTATTTCTTTGTCATTCGTCGGATTCCGACTAAGTGCATCTGCGTTCATATTCGTTTTACCGGCCCGGTGTACGATTTTGTAATCGTACTCCTCCAAATTCAGCCTCCACCGGATTAGTCGTGACCCTGGGTCATTTACGCTAAATAGCCATACTAGTGGCTTATGATCTGTGATTATCTTAAACTTGGTTCCATAGACATACGGTCTAAAATGTTTGACCGCCCATACTATGGCCAATAGTTCCTTTCCTGTTGTGTTGTAATTCTGTTCGGCTCGCAACAGCACGCGGCTCGCGTACGCGACCGGCCGGTCTTGTCCCACCGTGCCTTGCGTAATTTGACGCGTCCATTGTAACATTAAACTCTCGGCTGAAATCGGGGTACGTTAGTACCGTAGTTAGTCTATTTTTTAACATGTTGAACGCATTTTTTTGGATTTCGGTACAAATAAATTTTTCGCCTTTCTTTGTCAGTTGCGTTAGCGGTTTCGCAATACGCGAAAAATCTTCGATGAATTTTCTATAATATCCTGCGAGGCCGAGGAAGGATTGTATATCCTTCATTCTTCGAAGTGTCAGGAATTTCATAACCACTTCGATTTTCGAGAGATCCGGCGATATTCCCTGCTCTGTAACAATATGCCCTAGGAAGATTACCTCTTTTCTCAGAAACTCGCATTTGTCTGGCTGCAGTTTCAAGTTACTCTCCCGCTACCGCGTTAGTACAGTGCTGAGTCTTTCGTTGTGTTCTTTCAAGCTTGCTCCGTAGATGACAATGTCGTCTAGGTAATCTAAGCATTTCAGGCCTTGCAACCCCGTTAAAACGGAATTCATTAAACGTTGAAACGTTGCGGGAGCGTTTTTGAGGCCAAAACGGCATTTGATTATATT